CTCTTGTACTGTGGTTTTCCTTTCTTGAGCTGTCTACTAACTTTAATCCTCAATTACCTCACTACTTCGGGTAATTGAACACGTATAACCACACTATCCTCAGTCCTTCGGGATAGTGGAACGATACAACCACGGCTGATCATGGTACTTTAGGATACAACAGCCGGACGGGAACTTAACAAGGCTACGGGATAGAACAGCGAATTACAAGAATCGGGTTTTTATGGTCTGGGGACTTAGCGATTAGTTAATGTAGCAAGGGAGACATTTATGTATTTATCATGTAAGGGGCCAGTTATTATGTTTAATAAAGCCAAGGACGGGTTCTCTATTAGGGCCTTTTTGGCCTTTATTTATAAGAACAATTTATTATATACATTTTCACGCTCTATACTAACGTTGTCTGATTACAGGTACTATTATAATTACGACTACATCAGTATTCCCTCCCTTATTGACTACTTACTTACTTCGCCCCTTCGATCAGAAAGGAGGTTTCGGTCCTTTCTGACGATTCTGACTTTTCTAGCCGGGTTACCCTTATTTGGTTAGCCGTGTCACGTGTCACGTGACTTAGCCGGATAACAGTATGTGACCAAGTATCTTTAAATACAATTAATATGATACGCATACTTTGTTACATGTACAATAAATATATTAGGTGTTTTGATAAAATGTAGTTGTAGTAATATCTTTTTCACTATTTTGTAAAATTCATCTTCATTTAGAATAAATTTAAGATTATAATATAAAATTTTTTAGGTGCGCCCCATATGATTGTAAATTAATTATGTGTAGCATATATTTGGGTATTTGGGTATTTGTACGAATTGATTTATGTAATCATTAGTTTACGAGATATCCATATTTATATTTTAATTCGTTACAATACCCTATTTTTTATAATAATTTTCTCACAACAGTTAGACAACTTCAAATTAATTCTGTGCTTAACATAGAAATTATATTTGTAAGAGGAAAGGAAGGGCATTTAACAACGCCAAAAATTATATTAAATCTATTGGCTGTAAAAAATATATATACTGTATATAAATCCAAAAAAGCTAGTACTGCAAATTTGATTGATTAATATGGTGCCTATTTTCATGTAAATTTTTAAAAAATAAAGGAGGAGATTATGTTAAACATAGAATAAATTTGGAGCGGCCTTACTGTACGATTTACGGTTAAATCGCTTGCATTAAGCTAATGTCGGCTAACTTCATCGGAAATGGATAAGAATTTAATTATGAATCGAATAATTTTATTGTAATCATTTTTTTTTGGATACAGGTGCTCATTTGTTAAATCAGTTTGAGAACTACATCGCGTAATACTCGTGAAATAGTATTGACTCATATTATCGAATCTCAACATGCAATATACACTGTATTTGTTACTTTCTTTTAATACAAATTCCATATGGTCTGACATCTTCACCTTTTTCAGAGACCCAATACTCGTCATTTCCAACAGGAATTCTTTTTAAACTAGCAGGATTTACTCTGTTCTGAAATAGCAGCACATATCTATTTCCTTCAAACTCAAATTCTGTCGCATATTGTTCAGCGATATATATATCAGGTGTTGAATAAATGCCACGTCCATAAGCAAATCTACTTCCTTTGTTTAAGTCATAACCATTGAGATGCCCTAATTCGGCGAGTCTGTCGCTAATCGAAGGTCGGCTTCGTGTAACGTTCGGACGGCTTTCGGTCG